CCCTAATTTTTAATACTATAGATAGTAATGCAATTAATAATTTTTATTTAATTCAAATAATAGCACCAAAGAATATAGACTAATAACATGACAAAAGTAGACAAATTCCCTCACCTCTTAAAATTTTCCTGGTTTTCTAACTATGCAACAAGAGCCATTACAAATTCATCCAAACTAGTCGTTAACTTTCGCACAGGAACAACGTTCGTACTCTGAATGAAATTGACATTTAACTGTTCAGAACATAACCTTATACAATGTGTCATTTGATAGATGAAACCTTTGACTTTCTATTGGTTATTTGTAATATATAATGAAATGTAAGAGAGAACTATCAACGAATTCTGAAAGAGAGGATGTGACAGGTGGGTGTGTCAGGAGCTCTGTAACAAAACATAATTTAAGGCTATAAAAAGTACGGTTTCTTTGAGCAATAATGATTTTCATAGAGGATTTTATGTTTAGATTTGTACTTTTTCAAGGGGTGGTGGATAAAATAGGATGATGAAATGCTAAGAGAAAATGTGTCACGTGGGTCACACTAGTAGAAATTCAGGATTTTTTTAAATATTCCCTTGTAGAAATAAAAACTTACAACTTGTATACTATTAAAATATGGATTATTAGCTAAGATTTTATGCTATTCTAATTGGTATAACATAAACAAAAAATAGTTTAATAAAATTTTGAATGTAAGACACTAAAACCTTGTGTCATGTGCAGTAAAGGATACCCGGAGTGATAAGGTTAAGAGGTTACAGAGATTATGCAAATTAAATATGAATCTGTAAGAATAAAAAGAAGTATTTTTAAATTATTAGCATGAAAATGACTTTTCACTCAGACTGACTCAATAAAAGCTTCATAAATTCCAAGACAAATATTTAGCAAAAATACTTTATTAAAAAATATGATTTTTTGTGTCGAACACATTTGTAATGTTTAATAAAAGCTTGCCAAATTTCATGAAAATACACTTAATATGTTCAGAGTTATATTTCATGATTTTAAAGATTGGTCAAAATGACCAAGCCGACACATATACAGTTAACTTGCTATTATATCCCGCATGTCTATTTTCCTGGACAATTCTTCCACCTGTTACTAAAGAAATACAGAACTACAAAATTCTGTGAAAAAAAAAGAAATATTCAAATTTGTCTTCTTCTAAAATATTATTAGGAAATGAAATATAAAAACATAGAGAAAACCATAAAACTTACCATCTAAAGTATTCTGCAACTCCATAACTTGTGCAATAAAACGGGCCTTTTCCTCCATTTCATCAGGTGTAATGTCAGGATCTAATGCTGAAAAAAAATGTTAATATTATATTAAGCATCTTTTAATATAATTTTCAGTAGAATAATTTCTCCTATTTCTAAACACATTGTTTCTATTCCATATATGTTATGAATCTTTTTATTATTCAAATACCTGAAAAGTTGGAAAAGACAAAAAACCTAGTAATGTGGTCAAAATTCCCTACACAAAGGTTGAAAAACAAAGAAGGTTATATTAACCTACAAATATTATTTACATAACTTACCCAGTTTGTTCATTAACAGGCAGTAGATGGTGAAATTGTCACTTATAAATCACCTGTTGCTACCTATTCTTAAGTTAAAAATATTTTATTCATGGGGAATATTTTCAGAAATTGAATTAGTTCCTCAAAACATGTGGCAGAAAGATTCAGTGTGCAAACAACGGCAAGTGAAAGCAAGTGCACTGTTCAGAAAAGCAAGAGTTGCAAGAAATGTGTGTTAACTTTTACTTATCTTGAAAGTTTCAGGAGATGAAACTCATCCGTTGACAGATAAAGGTGAAGTTTAATATTACTTTTCTTCCTTAGGTAAAATTGTAAACGTTTTTTAACTACCTGTGTTTAAGACTTTTACTGTAAAAATAATTATACTTCTTTTATCAACATTATTATACAGTCAGTTCACAACTGGATCCCTGTTTATAAGCCTTCAACTTCATGCCTCCAAGTGGACCTTTAAAACCTATATCAGTCAGAAAGCCTTTAATAACTTTTTTTAAAAAAACTTTGGACCTGTTTCTTCAGTAAACTTCACCAGTTTGGTGCATTTATACAAAGCAACACAAAATTTAATGATGCTATAATAGTTTGCTACTGGATAATAAACAAATATGTAGCAATACATATTTCAATAATCAGGTTTTATCTCAACTTCAGAATTACAAAATAGTTGCAGGTATTGGAAAAGCCAAAGATCCACACACTTTTATTCATCAAGACTGATTCCATGACCCACAAACATATCCTAGTAAGTGTACAAGTAAACATATTTTGAAGATATAGAAATTGCATATCTCCCAATTATGGAGAAGAGGTGGGAAGGTAATTCAGATGTAAATACCTGTTTAAAATTAATTTTAATTATAAACATATGAAAAAAGCCAGAGTATTCACAATGAAACAGAGAGAGTTGTGAGGACCATTGGGAAACAAAAATTTGGGGTCTTAGGCAGGAAAGTAACAACCTAGACCATAGCAACTGAAAATGTAATCAAGCAAAGCTGAAGAGATTCCAAAACAAAAGCAGATTAACTGGACTGGATTCATGGGAAAATGAGTGGAGCAGACTAATCCTATATGAAACAAAAGACCAAATAAATGCACTCAGAAGATGTATTATTCTCAGAGGTGTACTTCCTCATCTTTTAAATAATATATCAGAAAGGAAAGCCAGGCAGTATGTATTTACCTATGGAACCATCATTTTCTCAGTTACAGTCACTCGTGGTAGCATAACAGATAGGCAGAGTTACAGCACAGTGCACTGCCCTGCACTTGTAGGGAGAGATTCTAGAAGTAGATCAATAGTAACTAATGAATGGACATGCTACTTTGGATTAAGGCCCTCTACATCCAACAAGGTTGGCCAAGTAAGCAAGCACTCAGGGAGAATTCAAAAGACTCGAGCAGTCCCAAGGATCAGGGCAACAGCTGTAGAACAGTGTAATGAGAACATTGAATATGTTAAGAAAATAAAAATAAAATAGTAAATTGTTCTTCATCTGGGTTGCAGATATGAGATATCATACAGAAAACAGTCATTTTGTCTATGATGTCTATAATTTTATGCAAAGCATCACCAGCCATCAGATAATATCTACTGTCCACTTCCAGATAGCCATCATAACCCTCTCATGAAACACCAATGTAGAGGATAGAAGTTGTCTAAAACAATCACAAAGGTATATGTAACATACAAGATGTTTGACCAGATAAATCCATTCAAACATAGTCTTACCTATAATGGGAGACCAGTAAACACATCAATTATGACTTCAATGTCTTTAAAAGCTTATAGAATTTGTCATAACACACCTCTTGATGATGAAATTAAAAACATTTATAAATTTTTTTTAATGACTGCAACACCTCATAGGCTTTATCGAAAATGCCATGGAAGACATTCTTTAGGTACAATAACCTGCAAACAGCACCACCTCCATATGGAAATGAAAAGAAAATATTTAGTGTCAAATACAATTCTAATATTGTGGCTTTAGATAGATGCCTCAAAAATATCAATTTTAAAGTTTTTTATAAATATCTTAACACTATTAAAAATTTCTTACCGTCAAAAAAGTCTACATCCAAAAATAAAAAACAAGGTGTATATACATATATATAGTCCCCTGCTAAGTTTGCAAAAAAGCTTATGTTTGTGAAACGAGTAGAAATTAAGATACCAGACTCATGGAACACAAACTGGATGTTAAAAATGGTCAAACAAATAATGCAATTTTCTACACATAAGAGAATTTGATCATAAAATAAGCTGGAAATCAGCCAAGCTCATAAATAGAACTACAAACTATGTCAAAAGAAAAATACCGTAAAGCTCATTAATCCAAGGGTTGTCAAACTTCAACACATCTGAAGGTTACTTTAAATTAAACCCCATTTTGACATCATATGCCATTCAAGGAATTGCACTTCCTTTATAAAACTAGATGTACTTCCACAGGGTCCCAAAAGGGTTCTGTTTTAAGAGTAATAAATATTTTTATTTCTTGCTTTTGAAGTTCATATGTCATACTGCATTTTAGCCTACAGAGAGCATAATTTTTCTCCTGATTAATAGCATGCACAGATTTTACTGATGTCACAACAGTAAAATTTGCAATGTTAAGTGTCCCTTGATATCATTATAGTATATACTGACTTACTGACAGACAACACATCACTATATAATGGTGTGAGTGGTTAAAATAGGTGACTCCTCCAGGCAGCCTTTAGCCCCCTTTCAGGGAAATAAGCAGTGTATATGTATGTCTCCCACAAACAAACATTGGACTGAAGAGAACATGTGAAATGTTGAAACTATGTTGGTATTGTTTCATTAGTGTGAATTTAAACTTTACTATTAAGCTCAAAAGTTTTATATTCCTTGGCATATGGCTTAATTCCATACTTTAAAAGAAAAATAACAGAAGAAACATCAGCATAAAAAATTGGTAACACTCCACTTTGATGAAATCACAACTACTCAAGTAAAAAAATTTGCCACTACATCAAGCCATTTCCTCTGAATGGACAGACCCAATATGAGCAAAGCAATCAAGTATCATATTTTAGAAGTCATTGCAGAGTTATGCTCCAGATCTAGCCACGTTGATATAGTGATTTTGTTCCATTCATATAGTACACAATGCTTTTCAAAAAGCTCCAGTACAATTTGGTAAACTGCTGAGGACACAGTCATTGATGCATATTTCTTCTTCAAGAACAGACTTTGCAGAAAAGAGGATTTTGAACTGCAACTCATGGATATAAGATTGGAGATGCTGTATTTTCTGATGCATAGAAAAATGAGATAGCTCTCCTCTATTCCAGTCTTGATTTGTCTGAAGAAACTGCTGAAGCTCCTGTAAACATAAATAACATGGCTTCCCATTGTTGATAAAAAACATTAAAAAAATTAATTACTACATAAAGTTTGCAAAGAAACTCACATATCAGCAGCAGTTGTTCACCTTATAATTACAAGCACCCCTATACTGCATGTGTCATAGGATTTTACTTTGTTACATTCAAAATTTACTAAAGCAATCCTACTATGCAAGTATAACAATGAAATTAACATTAAAATTTACATTATAGTTTAAAGTTATATATTATTTAAGATTTAGTTCCTTTATTTCAAAAGAAACCTAAAAATAAATTCTTAAACTTCAGTTTGACATACCATTTCACAAAGTTTTAACTTTTAGATTTTGTAACTTGAAAACGAGTTGGATATACTTTATGATTGGCTCGGAATCACAAGGAGAAAGTAAGCAACACTGAAGTAGACAAACCTTCTCCTCAACCTAAAGAAGTTCGAAAGGCAATATCCCAGGCTCGAAATGATGGGATCCTGTATTCCTTACTCAACCTGAGTAAACAAAACTCATCTGGTCTGGAATTATGAACACTCATCCTCTCTCCCCAACCATGTGGGCAAGGTAAATTCGAGGAATTCACTCTAACACTTTGGAGGAAAAGCCTCGGTCCACCACCCCAGTGACTGGAAAGGATTCCCTAGCTCCACTAATAGGATCTGGGGGGTAATGCATGTTGGTGAGTCCTCTAGAAACAGAGCAATAGGAGAATCAAGTTCCCTAAATTTTTAAAATCAAACTGACCCCTATTTATTCAATGCAATGATCAGCAGGATGCTTTGTTCATGATGGTCCATGAGTGGTGGTCCAGCATAGTACAGTTAATTCACCCAGTCAGCCTCTAGGTGGTCTTATGGAACACCTCATCCAGCATAGTACAGTAATACCACCCAGTCAGCCTCTCGGTGGACAGGAATGGTTCCAATAAAGGAGATCCAAGATTTGAAAACAAGTGCCTCCTTGATAAAAAAACACAAGATACCACCATGGAATTGTTAGAGTGAAGCCTAATGACTGTCCCCTTAATAAGCCCAGACCATGAGGCATTACCTTTTGAAGAACAAGGAGAACTAAAACATTTTGTATGTAAGCCTCTTCATCAGTGTGTAGACCCTGTAATTCCCGAATGTTGGTACATGCATCCCATCCCTGATGCAAGGCATTCGTGAAGAAATGGAACTCTTATTAATGTCCCGACTTAACAACCCCTCGAGATCAAAGAACGATCCCAACTAAGAAACCTGTGGAATCCAGTGAATTGATGTTCAGGATCCCTTAGTCACATAAAGACCATTAAAAGAACCTATTTGTGCTCTTGTCCCAGAAACATGAGGGACTTGAGTGATGCCCACATTCCAAGAAGAGAAATAATTATCCATGCAGTGAGAGAAAG